ACACAGCGCGTATCATCGCGCGAGCTTTAGATCCGGAAAAGAAGAAGAAAAAGAAAGAGGTGGTGGTGGTGGAGATGATCATAGGAAGTAATCAATCTCCGGRTTGAGAGGGGGRGGRAGAGGAGGGAGAAAYGCCGCGAGCGCRGCCAAGTTGGCTGGCACKTCCACTTCATTGAAGTGGTGCTGGACAAAGGAGGGGTAGAGGAAGGCCCCCGGCACATGTGAGAGGACCCGKGGCGCGAGATCRGCGATCGCCCGAATGATTCGTCGTCGCAGCGGCCGATTTCTCGGACCCGTCAGCACCAGATGGGTCTCCGTGTATGGCCTCCACTCCCGCTTAACCGCCGCGAAGACCAGGATATGGTACATAATGTTGGGCCGCCCGCCGGTCTCATAGATGAGCGTGCCCACCAACCTTGCCGCTATACATCCGTCGAATGGAGGCTGCAAGAACGCCTCCCATGCCGGATCAGGACGCGGTGCCCCCTCGATGGCCTCAAGTCGGATGGTGGCCAGTTCCACCATGTGATCCACGTCGGTTTGATGGACCGTCCGGCTCGGGGAACTGCTAATGTCAATGACCGGGGTATCCCGGGCGGGCTGGCGAAATCGAAATGGTCCTCCAAGGAGGAAGGGTCTGGATGCGGGATATGGAACTCGTCCCAATCCCCCCCCTGCGCCTGATGGCCCGGCTGCATGGCTATTGAGATCGGGGAGGCGGGGCCGCTGAGGTGTCGACTCCCGATGGCCTGTGGATCTCCGCGGTTCTTCGGCGGGGCAGTCCTCCCTCAGTCGGGGCCCCATGATGAGTGTGGCTCTTCTCTCGCGAACCGGATCGACTTCGTGCACCGGCGCAGGCTGGACGACCTCCTCGACAGGCCCCACTCGACTGGCCTGAGCTTCCGACGATGGACTTCGTCGCCGCTTCGGGACGGTTCTCTTTCCCGGTGCCTTCAGACCCGCCGGCTTTGGATACGATGATGGAGGCCGCAGCGGCTTATCTTCGTGCCCGAAGTCCACCACGGACTCCCCCTCACGTGCCAGGTAGTCAGGTATTACCGCCGCGTTATACGCTTTGCATGGGGCTGAGGCGGTCCGGAGTCTGAGCTGCAAGTCTTCTTCTTCTGCGGCGATTACCTGCGCGATGGACAGCAACTCAATGTAAATGAGTTGTAAGAGCCCCGGGCGATTCGTTCCGATCCTCCCAAAAGGGTAAAGCACCACTGTTCCCTCCTTCCGCTCCGGCTTCGGCTTGGCAATCACGTAGTATACGTGGAGGAACTCGTTGACGTTATGAACTTCGTGCTCCACGAAAAAGGTAAACATGCCCAGCACCACCGACGAATACAGCGCCCGATGCAGCTCCCACGCGTCCTTGTCAGCGGGCGGCAACTGCTCCACGTGCGTCAACTCCACCAGGTACTCGGGGAAGTTGCGCATAGGATAGGGGAGCTGTGTCAGTTGGTAAGGGAGGGTAGTGTAAGAAAAGAAGGGAGGCATTTAGAGAGAAGGGGGAGGGACAACTTGGATGTTGAGGGGCTCGGCGGGAGGAAGGAGCGCGGGAAGCTGCGGCACCAATGCAAGTGCTCCCTCCGGAGTCCGCTGCAGAAGTCCTTCGCATGCGGTGAAGCGATGAGTGCCCCTCGCCTGCACTCGCGCCACCGATCTCACCACCTGGAGGGTGTAATCGCGCAAGAAACTGTATGCCGGCTCCCGATCGTGCCCGGGCAAGACGGTTAAATCCCCGGTGAAAGTAGCGATGCTGTGCACAAAGTTCATAGCCACCTGGATGGCTCGGAACTCGATGAACACTCGAGTGGATTCCTGACCAGGCACGGGCGATATGTCCACATAGACGCCCGCGTACGTTACCCGCTGCGCGAGGAGCGAGTACACCGCCAAGTCAGCAACGCTAGGAGCCGACACGTTCACTTGCTGAATGTCGAAGCGCAGCTGCCGATCATTATTGAACCGGTTCCGGAGAAGAGCGTCCGAGATGGGCGACTGGAAGTGCTCGAGCAGTTCTTGCTCCTGTTGGCGATGGTTCATCCTGCGAGGCAAGATCTTCCGCGGATGCCGATGACGCCGATCGGAGAGAAGGGGAAGAAGGAGGCGAGGAAGAAGGAGCACGAGAGAGGGACGAAGAAGGTGATTCGGGCAGGACAGGTGACCGCACGAGATCTAGCGATGGCCGAAAAGGCCGGAGGGCAGCAGCGTGCCTCGTCAGCGGGCGGCCCTGCGAGTTGTGCCTGGGAACCAGCTTCACAGAGTGCTGGCCTCGTGCGCCAACTTCCGTCACCTCGTAAATGCCTGTGTAGCGTGGGTGGATTTTGGAGGAGCGCGCGGATTTCCGTACCTGCACCAAGTCCCCTATTTTATAGCGAGGCGGTGATCCCGCGGACGCATGTCGATTTTCGTAGTTGCGGATCTGTTGTTGATGCGTCCGATCTACGGCCTGTTATCGCCGGCGCGCTAACGGGGGATAGGCCCTAGCCATTAAGTCCATATAGTGGCGGGCCTTATCTCTGTGCTGGGCCCGTGTTGCTCTAACTTCCGTACCTACCAAGGGGGACAACTGCACCCGAGGGACACTATTGGTTCTCAGTTGAAAGGGGGACACCCCAGTACTACCGTGTGGGGTAGCCCGATAAACGGCCAAGACGTGGTCGACAATGACAAGCTAGGGCCGGGTGTCTCCCGCAGTGATATTCCGTCTAAGGGCGGTCTTAATCAATCGGTTGGCATTCTCTACCAGGTCGTTGGCTTGAGGCCAATGCCCCGGCGAGTAGATAATCTTAACGTCTGCCCTGACTAGGTGACGTTCTACTTCGCCTTGAAATTCCGACCCATTGTCCATGTGTACCTATTCTACGTCTAGATGCATGCACAAAAATCGATTTACGTACTAGGCTACCTCTTGCGAATTCCGGCTGGTCATAGGGTACGCCTCGATCCATTTTGGAAAATGATCGACGGCTACCAAAAGAACATTGAGTTCTCCCTGATCAACAGGGTCTCTCGGAACATTGATATCCATTGTGTCAATGCTAACCCTCTGAAAGGGGCGCTCTACACAAGTGGGCACCATTGTCCGAGGCATCTGTACCGGCGCCTTGTCCACCGCGCAGGCCGGGCAATTCTGAACGATGTATTTCACATCTTCCCGAATTCCCGACCAGTACCATCCGTTCTTCTCGATGGCTTTTTCCGTGTACTTGACCGCGAAATGGACCGCATCCTCTTCATGAGCAGCTCATGTCCAATCGAACCTAGCGAGAGGGTGTGGAACCGTCAACCAGCTAGACCCTCCGTCATCATCGACCTTTCGTTTTTGTAACGTCTGTCCCTGCCAACGATAGTCATGTGCCCGCTCCATGACTCTTCGCCGCTCGGCTTTGGCAAGTTCTGACAGCGAGTCGCCTGACAGCCTCCGTAGCAACAGAAGGTCCGTCCAGACTTTCGCCCGGCGGACACTTGGCGCGAATCCGTCGGCTGTTCGTGCATCCAGATACCGTTTCTCGGTAGGGACTTGGTCCGTTCTACAGTTGGGACAGACCCACGTCTTTTCACTTCGGTACCTAATGCATTGTCCGTGGGACTTGACCGCTTGACACCGACTACACTGCACCCACAAAAGAAAATTGGGCCCTACCGGATGTGACCCTTCTTGGTCCAGGACCATAGGCAAGGTACAAAAAAAACAGGGACTTAGCTGTGTTTCAGGGGATGAGTAAGTACTAGACGAGAGAGCGAGGGAGTTGGATGAGGGCAAAGAGATAGCGTCTGCCATAATCGGACTCGGACTGAGGATCGGACGCAGACACAGTGGCAAGGCACCAAGTCGAAGTCTTGGATTCCGAATGTCGAAACAGCAAGTCACATTGAGTACGAGTACAGCAGCAGAGAACTGGTACGAGACTGGTCCACGTACCGTACGGGGAGCCGGTATAAGTACCGGTGACACGTACGGTACCAGGGGCATTTCTGCAAAGGCCCCGAGGGCAGAACTGAAAAATGCAGTATTTGAAAGTGGCGCCCGAATTGCAGCATGGCGCCAGTTGT